ATTTAATTTTCTCTCCATTTGTTTTGATTATGGCTTTTCTGTTTGGTTTTTTATTTTCTGTTTTGCTGTGACCAAGTGCGTGCGCTCGTGTGCTCCCGCTTTTTTATGCGTCTGCGGTTTTTTTTCTTCTCTGTGTTCATTCGCTGTCTTTTTGTAGCACCTTTCTTCGTGTTCGGAATGATGAATCGCTTTCATTTAGCCGTCGCAAAAAGTGAAAGTAATGACCACAAAGCGTGTATCAGCATTGGCATGTGTTTAACAACAATAACATTTAAATTAAGGTATATTTCAACTGGGGCCCAAATAAACAAATAAAACATCGCAACGGAACAGAGAATGAGAAAAAATGAGACGCTTTTTATATGCGCAACGATAACTGCAAATCTGAATACGTTGGAATTTTTCTCTCTTCCTCTCTCCCTCTCTCCCTCGCTCGCTCGCTCGCCCTGCATTCATCTGCGAATAGCGAATGTTTCATTTTTGGAGGTAAATATAACGTGTACCATCGCACACAGAGAGAAAAAAATCTATGGCTACGAAAAGAAAAAAATCGATACACTCTTCGAATAGCACCTTGACGTGTTTGCTTGTGCACTTCAAAAAGCTGGCCAAGATTTCTTTATCTTATTTCTCTGCCTGATTAAACTCTGTGTCGGTGCTGTTGTGTTTCTTTTACGCCTTTATTTCATTTGATTGATACGTTTCGTGGCTGATTTGTTGTTATTGTCAATGAACCTTCCGACCAGATCGATTCATTTAACCATATCATAAACACCTTGGTATTTTTGTGAATATTCATCTTATTTCTTGAGTATTTTTTTTTATTAATTAATTGTTTTTATTCATTCGAATTATTTATACTAGAGAATTATCCAGAATTGCCTTGCCACGCTACTGTTTAACGATTAGTTTGCAGTTTCATAATAATATCGGAAATTGGTAGATTGACTGAAAATAGAAACCAATGCTCATCAATTCGAGCTGTTGAACCAATTAATTGATGATGTTGAGCAAATTGGATCTTTATTGCTTGCCAATGATATCGGTCGTTGGGGAAGTTGTCATCGAAAATGCTTTGAAATGCATCATTTCACTGCTTGAAGTGGAAGGTTATCAACACATTAGATTAAAATGGCTGAAGTGGCAACTCTTTGATTAATTGATATGCCAAATGGAAGTGAATGTGGATCTTATTTCGATTTCTTTAAATAGATCTCTATATTTAAGCATTAACATTTGGATGAAATCAAATCCGTCCCAAAAAGTACCAAAATCGCATGGTTCAATGAGCAAACAATTTAAATCCAATCGAAAATACGTGTTAGCGCTATTTATAGACCACCCAATCATTAAGTAATTGCTTACAAAGCAATTATTTTACACTCAATTGTGTGGTCTAATTTACGCCTTTTTCGCAATTCGATATGATTTGCCAATAAAAAATTGGTTATTTTCAGACATACTTGTTTTGTTCTCACATCTATTCATCAAAATGTTTCCGATTGTCTGTCGAACTATTTGTTTTTCTCAGCAGAGATGCGGAACAATTTTGCATTATTCGTTGGTAGAAACCTCACGCTGGTCGGTCATCTCAAGATAAAAGGGACGGAAGAGATGGATGCAAAATTAGTGTATTTGGCCAAAAATTGCAAGGTTCATTGGCAGAATATATGTGTTTGAAATTCGGAGTTTTTTTTTCGGAATTCGGTATTGTTTTGAGTTAAATGCATCCATTAGGTGATGTGTTTCGATTTCCATCTGAAATTCACTGCCATCTGTATTCGTTTTAATATTCTTTTGCAGCTGTTTTTTTGGGATTTGATTTCATTAGTGAGCCAAACAATTAATTAGCCAAACAGTTGTACGAATCCAAATCCTTTGATAAATATCTTTCGAGCAAAAAAAAAAATGAATGACATCACATCATCATAAATGAGCTGATGATCTCTGATGATGTTATCATCTGCAATTATTTTACACCCGATGATGTCCTCTATTAAGCGGCCACAGTTCCACTTTTTCTCACTGATTAAAACGTAAAACCAGCTCGCGTGCTGGTGAGCATACGCATACAGTTTCCGCTTATGTCCGCACAGGTCCGCATAAATTATATCAACTAATTAGCAAATTATTTATTCAACCGATTTTATGCCAGATACCCAATAACTTTTGTCAACTTTTACGTGTTTTAATTTGCATTAATTTGACGAAGGATAACAAAATGAATTAATTCATCACACAGGCTTCATTCCATTATGTCACAATATTCACAGGCTCTATATGATTCGTCCCAATTATTTTTTTTGTTCTAAAGAAGAAATTATTCTACCGAGTTCCGTTCCAAAGTCCGTTAAAAAAAGTGAATAGTTGCAAAAAAAAATTCTGACATTTGACATTAGCAATGATATTGCGCATTCGATGAGAGAGTTAGTTAAAACTGTGCATGAACTAATTTGATTGGAATGTCTGGATTTCATTGAGCTCCAATATTTATGACAAAATGATTTTATCACTTTAAATTTGCAAAACTATTTTTTTTATCGATTTTGGATTTCGATTAGACAATCGATTTCATTATATTCAAGTATAAGGTGATTTAGGAAATTGATCGCCCAATTGGGCCATTTTTCATATTTTTAGGGCACTAAAATGCCGGAATCAATAAAAAAATATCATTAATATAACATAAAATGCCTTTGATGGCATTTAAATTGATAATTTGATGATTTCTTTTTAAACGCTCCCATTTATTCATATATGTAGCGTAGGTTTCACTATTTTTCATTATTTTTTTTAAACAAACTGACACCAGTCCAAGGAAAGTTAGTCTAGCGTTGGTCATACGAATTTATGCTAACATTTTCACGTTTTGCCTTTATTTCGGAACTATTTCTTGTTCAAAATGGTTGTTGTGGCTTTGAGCTATTGCCCTCATGACACACGATTATCATTATGATTGATAGAAGTTAAAAGCCTTTTACGAGAAATGGCATTAATCTTTTTTTATTTCTTCAAAGACCTAGGACACAATTTTTTTTTCTGTGCCATTCTATGCATACAGAAAAAATGCTCGAAAATCACGTTTCAATGTCGAACAAGGTTTTTAATTAATGTCTTTTTTCACATCGTATTCGATGACGTTTCATAGTTCTTAAGTTTCTTTGATGGGTCAAGAAACTTAGTTTTTTTTTATTTCGAAACGGAACCGAAAAATAGGAACCAATTCCGTGAAATCCGCCGAAAAAAAAAATGGCAATAAGGAATTAAATTGCGGAATATTCATATTTTTTGCTGTGGACGTGCCTCCTTTGGTTCAAACAGATGTAAAAAATGAATTTTGGATTTCAATCGACAAAATGCTGAATAAAAATAACTTGTGTCCCATTCACACTTTAATTTTCATCGTTTCACACGTGGTTGACATTGAAAATGTTGGTGCTCACGTATTTATTCATTCATATTGAAGCAGAAAAGTCTGGGCGCCCGATTCCGAGCGTCTGTTCTATTCGATTGAATCCGACTAAATGAATATAGATTGTATTATATCAACACCGATATTTATGGGTCAGATTATGGATTAATGAAAAACCTATTTTATGGGCCACTTCCATATAAATGTCATTGGCACATTGTTTCCATTAGGTCAATTCATCGTAAAAAATATTTATGTTTTAACATTTTTTTCTTTCGTTATTTACACATATCGAATACCAAGCCATGTGCATATATTGATCAGGTGAAGAAGTTGACACGATTTGTTAAACGTAATCATAAATGTTTTTCGTCTATCATCTTAAGTTCTATTATAGATCATTTTTCGGCCAAATATTCCGAGGCCATTCGAGGTGAAATACGGACCAAAAAAAAATTGTGTGTAATATTGACATAATCAAATATCCGAGAATTTTTCTCTGTCCCTCCAACGTCAAAAAGGGCAATAAATGCGCGTTAAAATTTATGCAGATTTCTTTTACGCTGAATACTTAATTCAAAACGAGAGAAAAAAAATTGGAGTTATGGATATTTTTTGGGCAAAAAATGAAAATGCGTCAAATTGTAATAATGCTCTCATATGGTTATTTGTGCGTCATATCGCAGCATCCAATGAACGGTTCGATGTAAATTCATATAAAAATAAGCTTTGCATGCTGGGTGACGATTCATTATGATTAAAGTCATGGTTGATTCATCGGTCCATTGGAGCAATCACGTTCCATCTTCTTTTTTCTATTTGTTACGCTAATATCTCTTTTGGCGACAACAATCCGCTGAGAGAATTTTATCATGATGAAGAAAAACCTTGTCTCGTTTACACTTGAAAGATTATGAAGATGGCACGTGTTTTCATTTGATCGTACGCTAAATTTCCATTAGTCTACACCAGATTGATTACCAGACGTGGGCACACACATTCCAATGGAACAACGGCATTGCCTGATTGACTGTAAGTGTTTTTCTAGAAAAGTTTTTCTTGGCATCTAACCACCAACAACCTATTTAACCACCAATAACGATCAATTCAACGCAAATTGGACATTTATATATTTTAGAATTGAATCGGTTACACTTTTCTTTGAAGACTTGACTTTGAAAAACACTTCTAAAACAAATGGCTAATATAAGTTGCCTTTTTGTGTACAATTGATCCATCAAAATATTTCTAACTTCGTAAAATATATCCAGTGGCATGTACCCATGTCTGTCTCTTTACACTTATCGAAACTGATACGTAGTATGGACAAAACGTTAATTTAATCCTGAATTAAATTGCTAAAAGCCTGCGCATGTCTCAATATATGATTCTCGCTAATGTTATGAATATTCATTTGAAGAAGAAAAAAACTGTCCAACTGATAAAAAGATGATTGATTCATTTTTCATTAGAACATTTGATTAGAATCAATTCCGACTTGTGTGACTCTCAAAATTTGTTTCTTTCTTAATGTTAATGCGATGGGATTGGAAAAATACAAGCGAAATGTGTGAGAGTGTTTACTTACGTTTCAAGTCTTTTCCCTCGGGTGGGCAGGGTTTACGGCTCAGTAAGCATTCCACGTAATTTGTCACTAAACGGTCACTCGACAAGATTTGCTCAATGTTCAGGTTATTATACCTACAAAACAGAAAAACAAAAACAAAACAAAAAAAACTATTGTTAAATGAAGAAAAAAGCCATTTTTTCACATCACATGAATAATTAATTATGAATAATAAATTTTCTTGACGAATAATTCAGTTCTAATCGCAAAGTGATTGGTTTCATTTAAATTCGAATCGACGATTCTTGTCGATAAATTAGCCAAACTAAACGAATTTTGAAAATTCTCGCAAAATTTATTTTTTTGCTCTCTCTCTCTCTCTCTCTCTCTCTCTCTCTCTCTCTCTCTTTCTCTATCGCAAATTACGCACGAAGCGTTCGGGTGAAAGACATTCACCAAAGAAATTATTAGCATTTCCATTCGATCATTTTCACGTATACGTTAGTCAGTTTTTTTTTCGACTTGTCTGATCTTTTTTGACTCGACAAACTTTTTTTCCCATTCGACCAATGCTTTCATTGGGTAAAGTCCAATCGGCGCCAATAAAGAAGAAAAAAAATTTGCAAAAATGAATGGCTCTTGCTGTGAAGGCGGTAGACGTTATGTTATGCATTCGAAAGCATTAAATTGATTTTAATTTAATCAAATAATTCATCATGTAAATCAAATCATCATTTTTTCAATAGGCGAATAGAAGATGACGCGAAGAACATGACAAAGCCGCTGATGAATTATGCCATGGTCAATAGCAAAATCGTCGCCAAAATTGGTGATGCTTCCATGGAAAAGAAGAAGAATAAAGTTTCATGTTCACGTTCAACAACAGCCATTTCCAAAGCAATTGACGTCAAATATATATCTGGGTCATAATCTTGAAGCGTTTAACGTTGAAAATGTAATTAACTAATTCGATGAGAACCCATGATGACATATTGGTCGGATTTCTATCGAAACAGTGTTTTCGACTTTGATAGGTATCAACATTGAATTAAAAATGGATAAGGTTGAAGATGGGTTGTGTGGTATCTCATGTATCTCCGTTTTTTCTCTCTCTCTCTCTCTCTCTCTCTTTCTCTTTCGTGTGTGGGCGCTTCGGAGTGAAAAAACAATGTCTGTCAGCTGAATGAACTACGCTTTTGATTTATATCGCTTGTGATTTGATGGCTCAATGGGTTTTTTTATTTCATCGATTGCTGCATGCGCATATCGCACCTTTGCAATAATAAATTCCAACCAATCCAAATTTGGTCATTTAATTGATTCTTTTTTCTGCAAACAACAAGCAAACAAATGATGAGCTCTCAAAAGCGTGAATGAATACAGTGGAAAATTACTGGCAAAAGGTGCTCGGTCTTCCACAGAATCGTAAGTAATTGACTTGATTCATAAACGTGTAATGACACGAAAAAAAAAGATTCAAGGGTGCTCAGTAACAATGAAAGTAAAAGCAGTTGAACCAAAGCGAACCGAACCGAACAAGAATGAAAAATTTAAGCGGTTGTTCTTTTTGTTCTGTCGTATATTACAACGAATGAACGTATGTGCGGCATAAAGGGAACTAGATCCAGAAGTATGAAGACGGGGAATATGTTCTTGGCAATGAATATATGGCTCAAGATAAAGACACGGAATTGAATCGACAGCGCCTAGCAAATAAATAAATGCGTCGTCAGTATGTGTGTGTGTGTTTGTGTCATCTGAATGAAAATGGAAAGCGAAAATGAGAACATTTGCAAGTGATGTGCCAAGAAACAATTGTCATCTCCTTAAAATTTGAATCCATGTTAACAACGATTAATGGGTATGGCCATTAATTCTTCCTACTTTGATGTTTTATATTTTATTCTGGCCGTAACCGTCGGACACATCCAACACTTTCGAACTACACAGAACTGCGCAGTTAATCGTAATAGCGTATTTTCTATTCAGAGTGCGTGCCAATGGTCCCGCGTACGATTGTGTCTCGTGTTCAACAAACCAGCCAAGTGCTCGAGCGGGCAAAATGCTCGACTCATGTAGAATGAGCGTATGCATTTCGGCACACATTTCGATGTAATCGTGGGATACAATTCGACAAAAGCGAAATTGTAGTCTGTGTCTGGAGATTATAATCTGGGTGTAAACGGCGTTTTGGATCTCTTGAAAATGTTCGCAAAAATTAAAGCGTATCCAAGCTACCAAGTGACATAAATTTATGACAATTAATGTCGAGAGAGCGAGAAAAGAGTTCATGCCCGATGTAATAATTGTCATTTTCTGTTGCCTGATTAACAAGCTATTTGTTGCGTTTATCTGGAAATGACGATTGCTAAGGTGTACGGCCACATTATTTGTAAGCCGAATGCGTACATAATGTTTATTCTTCGTAAAACGAAATCATAATTTTGTTTCTACAAGATTAATGAGACAATAACAATGGTCAATATATATCTCATATATTATTAAAAGCTTTTGTGCAAACGCAGTTTGGATTTTGCTCTTTGTTCTCAATTCACACCGGCCATGTTTTTCTCTTTCATTCGCGCACCAGCACAGCAACTGTGCATATATTCATTGCACCGTTTACAAAATATGTATAGACTTCGCCTGTAATTAGTAGCTTTGTGTTCACATTTCTTCCGTTCAAGCCTACAAACGGTTTGGAACGTCAGTTGATTGTGCAACACCGTAAGAAAAGCGGCTATTCTTCTGTGTAGAAATCATATGCGGTACACAATTGGGTGTATTATTAAGCAGGCACATCGCATCGCATGAACATTTATGGGTAGAAAAGCCCATTTAATTTCAGGCTCTCACATCAATATGTATACACAATCAACCAAAAATTATACATCAACAAAGTGCACAGATTTTGTACGCTCATTCAAATTGATTATTAAAATGTTTATTTTAAGAATTAGTCGATTCTTATGACTGGCATTTTAATCTTTCCAACCAAACTATGGCGCTATCTCATCTACTTGACATTTTGACAACCGAAAACGTTTGACCAGTAGAAAAGCAACCAAATGTGGCGATGCGATTTCTCTGAAATTGTAATTTTGGTGTTTTTTTTCTTTCTTGGTTGCCGTTTCGTTTTCATTGGTAATGGCATTGAACATTTGCATGATAAATAATAATCGATAGAGTTTTTTTTTCTTCTGCTCTTCTTTTATTTGGGCGAAGAAAATTGTTATCGCAGCAGTGCAGTTGTTGTTGATTTGAATGAAATGTCTGATTCATATCGGTCGTTATACGAATGAATGAAGGCAAAATTTAAGATTGCACTTTGAAACTTACACCCATTAAAAAAAATATAGAAGGTTTATGTCCCAATTTGGTTCGATGCTCAACGCCACTCTCTGTGTATGCGTTTTGTCGAAAGAAGCCCATATACATCTCCATCGACTGCCATTTCATGATGGCTATTTTGCATATTTAAATATATTTTCAATTCGTATTTGATTTGACAAGAATTACTGAATATTCATATCGAAGAGAAGGCAAAAAATACATTGATAAATCATAATAAAAAAAAAGATGTGGTTTAATGGATGGTAAAAATCGCTGCATCATCACATGCAGATACTCCATCTCCATTGGAGAACAATGTGAAGAAAAATGCAAAGGAACACTTACCTGGTACTATATTGAGGTAGTTGAGATTGACCAATGACAGCTTCGAACAGAACGGTCGCGCTGATAAGCACAAATGCACAAAAACTCTTCATTTTGCTTTGATTTTACAACTTGGCTACGCTTTGCTTGCTTCGTCTGGAATGGTTGCAGGAATATGTCGTTGTGTATTGTGTGCGTGTGTGCGTGTTTTTTTTTCTTTTTGGGTTTTATCGATTTATTCTCGTACAAAAAGAAACAAATTACAAAAATTTTCGAATCGAAAGCAAATCTGATATTCGTTGAAGGTTCATAAACAAATTACGAATGGTTTTGTTTGTATTTCTCTCTCTCTCTTTTTTGTCCAAGTCTTTAATGACCTCTCACGACAGTAAAAAAAAAGAGACTTCGATTCCTTGGTGTCGACGTGATCAAAAGCACTGATTCAGAAAGCGATATTGGAATACAATATCAATAAAATAGAGAATTCAACTCTTTTCTCGCTCGAAAATGGAGAAGTAAAAAAAAGATCGTCGATCGTTAGAAGAAGAGACAGGAGTAACTGTCTTTTGCGCCAATAATTAATTAATTAATTTCGAACTTGTGTATTTTTCGTCTGATAACTCATCTGGTTATCATAGCCGCACAATTCAGTAAATTTCAAAGTCACCTGATTGCGGCCCGTATGTTATTCTTGTTTCTCTCAATTCGACACTCACAGAGGAAAAAAAAACTGTCGCTGTATTTATTTGACTCGACTTGTCGTAGAGAGTAACGTAACTTTGCGGTTTTGTTGGGTCGTTTAATGTGAGTGAATTGTTATATCGAAGATCAACGGAGGTGATTGCTTTCTATATTCACTTTCCGTTCTCTCTTAGTTTTGAATTCCGGACGCGTTTTTTCGTGGGCTTCGCCTTTTTTTATGGTTATGATAATCGCAACACTCTTTCTGCTGATTTTTCGGCGAAGATTTTTTTTATTGACGTCGCACACAGGTTGATTGCTCCTTAATTTGGATGCCAATTACAGTGTCTCGAATTTGTCGATAGTACGCGTTCGTAAATAGCTTTTAGAATGGTGTCCTGTACGAAATTTGTATAGATGATATCACCAACTTTAATTGTTCTGGCTGAAAATTCCATAGAAAAACAAGAACAGAGAAAAAAAAATTCATGAATAACACAATGAAATCAGATGCAGAATGATGAAGAAGTGTCGAGAATCGAAATTAAAACAGTGAAACAATGTGCGCACACGTATCATGAATGAATGAGTAAACAAATTAAGCAGAAAAACACAAAACAAAAATTATTACGATTCATACGATAAAATCGTACGCATTTTTGACCGACAACACTTCGGCGCAGAATACACACACACACACAAAGGGATTGGAGTGCGAGAGAGAGTGAGCAAAGAGAGCGATGGAGGTATTGTAGATCTTGAAAATATTCAGTAAATTACGGTCATTACGTAAGCGCATATCGCATGTTTAAATTATGCATCTTCATTTCGCTTTGAATGTGACCTTTGCTGTGATTGCGGTGCATAATTTGAGGATCGTGTGCGTTGCAGTAGAGGCATAAAAGCAATATCAGCGTGGGCGACCAAACAATTGAGACTATGATTAGCAGCAGACTACCTATATATAGGGATATATATTTCCATCGATGCTGCACTCTTTTTCGCATGGAATCGGCCAATCTTCTTACTCTAGCGCCGCGGACACACAAATGATGAGCAATAATTAATTTTATTGCTGACCGTGTACAACCAAATATACGAAACAAACAAAAATATCGTCAAATTCCCAAAATACCGCCGGAAAATCAATCGTAAAACCAATCATTCGTATGAAAAGATTATTATTTCACAATGGAATGTACTACCGAACTCGTTTCCAACTTCTCAAAATCGATTCCACAACAAATAAATCACACATAATTCCGCGAATCAATCAATCAAACCGCCCCGAAAAATTGGCGCTTCAATTCCCGGTGTTTTTGTCCAAAAAAAAGTCCAAACAGAAATGGTTTTCGGACAAAACTGAACCGGTTCGTTGTTTATTCCATAGTTGAACGTATGGAGAAGATGGCTCAAAGCAACAGAAAAAAAAGCATTTTGTGCGACATAAGGAAAAACCAGCTATAGCTGGGATTGGAATATGCTAATATGACAAATGAGCATGCAAACACCAAATGATTGTTGAACTGTTGTTGACTGTTTATCCGTTGTTTTCTCTTTGAAAAACTCCTTCCTTTTTGGACATTGGTCTAGTTTCGAAGGAAATAGATTACGTTTTGCTAGAAACCTCTAATTTGTGCACGGAAATCAAAAAACCACCACAAGCCAGTAACTGAAGCCGGCTCGTGGCAACCAGTCAATAAACATATTATATTGTTACAGATCATCGTTAGAATTGGCCGAGAAAAAAGTGTATATAAAATCGCCAAAAAATGAAGCAGGTTTTTTTTCTGTGTAGCATATATAACTTCTAGGTGCTGCATAGTAATAAAACCGATCTTTTTTATTTCCGTCGTTTTTTTTACTACAGTGAAATAAATAAATTTTTATTTCGTTTTGCTCTGCAATGATGACACATGGTCATTGAAAGCGAAATGTTATACATCACAAAATGAGGAACAAAATGGGTAACCATTAAATGAGTCAGCCGGCATCCAAATGGATCAATTAATCTTATGTCCTATTTATCTAATTGAATTTCGCACTTTCGATTCAGCGCCAAAAATGGTACGTACAACCTTATATCCAATCAAAAATGTACGGCTTTATCCACACAATTTGATAAACGGTCCGGATTTGGCCAAGAGAATTGAATATCAAATGCATCCCATTTAATGTAATTTTGGTGTGTGTGTGTGTGTCTTTTTTTCAATCGAAATCGCTTAATCAACAATAGACGATTAAAAGTCTTAACTTGGGAATAAGAGGAGAGTGTAACCATTGAGAAAGCATCTCACTGCCAAATCGTAGGCTCAATGTGAAAAAGATAAGAAGACGAAGACGAAGACGACGAAGAAGCAAATCTGTGTGGCATTGGCGAGGATTGATCCATTTGTATATAAATTGATATTTTGCACTCAAATGTGTGTATTCATAGCGTCCAATCAAACGCAAATCAATTGATCCCATCGAAAAAAATAATCATTAGCTGAATGCCACTTTAGCAATGATTATGAACAAAATGAATTCCATAGGTAAATTTTAAAAACGCACAAAAAATTCGCTGCATTCAAAATGAGAGACGATAATCAATGATCGCATAAATATCAATGATGAGCAGCGGTTCCATTTCACGCGCAAACAAAGCACGGTTATTTACAATTTCGATGCCAACAGGATTTTGCGAGAACAAAAAAACAAATAGAAAACTTCTAACGTTGACAGGTATTGACGCACAACAGAAAAACAAATGCACACAAAATTACGGAAATTGAAACATGCAAACATTCAACTAGTACACAACGATTGAATGATGAGATAGAGAAAAAAAGAATAGCAACAAAGTTATAGAGAAAAAGATAGAGAAAATATTGCTACAGTTTTACATACTTTCAAGAGATATGATCCGATGAAATTGTCAATATGCACACTCAACTAGGCACTTGATGCTTTTGAACGATCTCTTAGAATGTATCGTATTTTGTTTGTTTCTGAACGTTTTGTAACAACAGGCGAATTTTTACTCGTTCGTTGTACACACTGTGCAAACTTCTCGCTAGCAATCTCTGATTATAACTGAATGCTGATTTTTACTATCTGAAGTCTTTATTCGAGCACAATACGTTTGTGCGGTGTTTTTTTTCGCTATCGTGTCGCATTGCTTGTTTTGTTTGCCGTTTCTGCGAGAGCGCGCAAATACGCAAAGAAAAAAAAATGAATAGTTATGAGTGTATGATATGTTGGGCTAGGTATGTGTGTGTGTGTGTATGTGCGACACATAAGCTCTACTATCTGTTGCTGTCTGACGGTTCGATCGTATTCATGTGTCCGTGTGTGTTAAGCCAATGCGATATTATAGTGTGTATATGATGTTGACCGCGAATGGCTGGCTGGTTGCTAGTTGCTCAGCATACGGAACAGCAACGATCAAAACTTCATGATTTTGATTTACCATGTATAGACTGCTTGCTTTTAGTTTTTTTTTTCTCCTCTTAAATAGTAAATGCTTGGTTTGGACTGTTATTTTACCTGATTGTTTCTGTCGCTTTTAGCGTGTAATCACACTGAAAATGCGAGCCGTTTTTCTTCCAGAAAATACACACTTCTGAAACAAACGAAATTGAGAAAAAAAAAGACAGTGCAACAATCAATATACGATCGTATGGAATGTACGTGCAACGCGTTTCATGTACCTGCTGCGACTACTGAAATACATACATACAAAACGGCCATTTAATTACGTTCAAATAGTCCAATGAACACGATCTTTTTATTATTATTATGTGCTTCGATGTGCAATGCAAGTGATACGACCAGTATTATCAACACTGCTATTGTTGGTGCTGTGCTGCTGGTGGTGCTAAGCCACACCAACCAACCAACCAACCAAAAACCCATTCGTTGCGAGAAAACGGCGGTTCGCCATTCGTTCTCGATCTTTGTTTTCATTTCTTGTACAAGGTGAATGGCTGCAACTTTCAGAACTGATAATCCAGTTTTGGGTTGCATCTAAAATTACATGCGGTTTTTCTTCTTTCTTGTACAACAATAAATGAACTGTACTTCGAGCGGGAGCGATTGCGCTCGGGCGTGCGCCATTAGTTGTTTGGCTTGGGAAAATAAGCGTTTGAGAAATCGGCAGCTGGCTGTGGGTGAAAGCTGCAAAAATCACATTCAAAATGCAAAACAACCAGTGATACGATTCAAACGATAAATGCTAATTAAATTCCATCAATTCGGTTATTGAATGTCGGCGGCGTCGTCGTCACTTTTATTTGAAGCAAATCTGTGGTAAGTACGATTGAGACTGACACAAGCCATCGGCACATTCATAGATACACACAATGCACGCAAGCAAGGGAGTGCTTATAATTTGCATTTTTCACATACATTTCCGAATAATACACGAGATAGAGATAATAATGCGGAAAACGATCAAATGAGTGAAGTGAGAAAATGCCGAAGAAATTGTTTGCCGTTTTATTTTGCTTTTATTTCATTATGACACACATACTGCAACCAGCTCTCTTAACATTCCAAACGATCGGCGAAAAGATCGAAAGCGAGAGAGTTGATTGCCGAAAGTGCGACGCGAATGCAATTAAATTGCTTGTGCAAAATCAAAAACATTGCACTGAGTTTCAAGTACAAGGTTAAAACCACCAGCTGCTACTCTTACAACGATCAACAGTTTGTTATGCCTTTTAACCGCGAAATGCAGTTTCGTGAGACGACCTCTATTAAATGCCTAAAACGGCATTTAATTTGGTAACTAATTGCTTTCGACATTGTCACCCAGGCGCATTACCAACACGGTGGTTTTTTGGTGATGCATACACAAACTTTAGCTGAGATTCATTTGTGAGATGAGTTGAATTCTGGTTCCGTAAAGCAAAAACAAAACAAAAAATCCATTTTTTTTGCGATTTAACGGAAACATCGTATCGAAGCCGACGACACCTGGTATTTCGTGAATTTCGACCGATTTCTTCATGCCTTGACCTCAACCAATTCACACATAGCGTCTATGTGAATCATTTTTTTTCTCTCTCTAACCACATTTTCATGATGGGTTATAACCCATTATAATGGGCATGCTACAACTTGATAAAAAATATAGCCCATTAGATTAAAATCAACAATTTTTTTTTTCGTTGGAAAGACAATATATATGACATGTGATAATCAAAAGGAACCGGAAAGATAAAAGTTTGTAGAACTAGAAGAATGAACAGAAAAAAAAACTGAGTCGTAAAATGTATCAGACAAATCGGTCAATTAAGTTGAAGATTGAAGGCGAAATGGTTAAACCATTAACCGTTGGAATGAGTTGACCGAATAGAGAAAGACAAACAACAAATAAAAACTATGCAGAGACACATCAAAGTACATTCAGTCCAATTGCTTGAGCGTAAACTTTCTAAGTAATTGTGCATTGTGTGTGATTGTGGCACACAATAAAATAACGGAGTCAACGACAATTTGAAACTTACAAATTCTCTTTCTCTTTCTCTTTTCTCACTGTCTTGGATTAGCGCGGTTTCTTCATATCGTGCCATTTGGCAATTGGCAAAAGTTGATTGAACGCATGACTTAGTTGCACGTGGTCATTTGATTTTCGTAATTTATAGACATCGAAGTGTGGCGACCACAGTGGTGACACATCCACCGCACCGTACCACGCGTGCATATTGAAAGTTTTTTTTTTGGGTGAATTTCATTGATGCTGATGATGATTGGTGTAAGAGAAAATGTGCAAATTTTACTCAAAATTGTAGTCGCATCGCATGACTAAAATTGTGGCTTTTTAACATCTGGTTTTTATTGTGTTTCCAGTTACTTTGTGGCACTTTTCGTTTTTGTCAAATGTGCGAATTGAGATGGAACAAGATACTTTTGGCGTGTGTACGCGAAGCGAAAAAGTTAGATGAAGACTTGGAATTGAAGATGATACAAAATGCGGTAAACTCAGTGAAATTCACGTTTTTGTTTCTTCTTTTTTCTTCCCATGCGACCGAATCGTACCGAAATGTCGTCGGCGTATCGCGAATGAATTGCAGAAAACATTTTAAATTCGTTCAAGTATGAAACAAATGTGTTTTTGAGACAATTCTTTCCCTCCGCAATGCCGCTCTCTCATACTTTCAATGTATGAAATTTTTCGAAGCGCAGAACACTAACGTTCGTTCGACAATAAAAAATTTTTTTGTTCGTTCGTTCGTTCGTTTGACATTCATTTTGTTCGATGTTCGGTCCGAACAAAGTTTTTTTTTATTTCAAAATCTCCCGAATAAAATTGGTATTAGTATGAAAAATTATAATAAAAGCTAATAAAAGCATGAGCTGTAACGATTACATTATAAATTTGATCAATACATCGAATTTTCTAATGTTAAAATTTTTTATTCGGACCGAACATCGAACAAAATGAATGTCGAACGAACGAACGAACAAAAATTGTCGAACGAACAAAAAATATTTTTTTTTAACTGTCGAACGAACGAAGCGTTCGAAAGTGTTCGACGGCCAACACTACTAACTGGTAACACAATCTAACACTCTCATCAAAATTGTTTCAAAGTTGAATGAAACTTTGGATGCCGAAGCACTTGTCGATCCAATTAAAGTTTTTAGCGCATTTTCGCAGAAAACTTGTACCGTATGTTATACACCGAAAAATGCACAGCGAAATGTAAGTGGTGTGTGTGTGTGTGTGACTCCAGCAAACATAAATTGGAACGAAAATGTGTGAGGGCTTTTGCGACGCATTAGTTGAATTAAGTGTGCATCAACAATGTTTCCAGTGGCAACGAAGTTGCGATTCATTGTTTCCATCATTCATTCCCTGTACAAACAGATCATGGATTCCATCAACGATTTGACACAGTAAAATGGCACAGTTTCTTTGTACCAATTTTGTTTTTTCTCGGAATAAAATAAATTGTGTGAGTTGAAGTGTGATTTTGTTTGCCTTTTTACACAGTTGAGATGTGAACAAAATCCGAAAATACGCTACACACCTTATTTAATTCAAATTCCCCATTTCTTTCCTATAATAATCGAAGTCATCTGTATCTTAGGAATGTCATATACTTGCGCTGCGCATTTTTATTACCTTAGAATCAAGGTGATACCATAATATTTTAATCCATAACTCAAAACAGCTACAGCTCAAACAGATAAACATCATCGCTTGAGCTCTCGTTCCCATTGTGGATCGAAAAATGCAGACCAAATTTCGGATTGTAAACACCAAAAACCAATGGAAGGTACCTTCATCGGTGATTTGTCATTGTGACTGATGAGATTATTCGAACTAAATGTAAAATATGAATATTTAGCGACAACTTGTCGCCAACAACAAAATTCAATACAAATCCAATGGAGAAAAACAAACTTTCCTTGTAATTTATACACGAATTTCAAGTGGATATTATAAGTGATAAGTCCATTCGTTGTAATGCCTATCATGGGCAGCCCCTATGAAATCAATATGAATTATTTCTTGTTATTTTAATCGTGTGTTGTTTATTTTTGTGGTTTTCAAAGAAGATGGTCCAAAATATCGATCAAATCCGTTTCGTGAACAAAAATAGATTGTTCGAATGTCTTATGCTGGGCTTATTTTAAAATTTCGATTGTGGCGCTAAAAACCCATGATATTTTAAACATATAACAGAAAAAAGAAATCACTTGGAAGCCGTGAATTTGTGGCAAGTTATTAACATCACAATATATTTAGCTAAATTTAGAAATTCACACAGTCATTAAGCTACTTCGATAATGATGAAACTGATTGAGAACGACTGTAAAGCAAACATACGTTTTCGGATGGTTTAGCATCTCAGCATTTCGGATATATCCGAGCATATCGACGACGCAAGTCAATGTATAAGTGGCGTGCGTCGATGCGCACAGCTACATCGACTACACACAAACTCTGCGCTCTCTGTTTGAGTGTAATAATAATGTTTGAATCAGGCTTCACTTTAAAACTAAAATATTCAAAGCATCGACGCACGCCACTTATACATTGACTTGTGTCGTCGATATGCTCGGATATATCCGCTGCATACGAAATACTGAGATGCTAAACCATCCGAAAACGTATGTTTGCTGTAAAGATTAATGAAAATGGATTCATTTACTGAGGCACCGCTAAATGATTCCTTTGTGCTCAGTTTCTTTTGCACTTTGCAACAAAACTACAACGAACAAGAAAACGAAAAAAAAGCGCAATTCTAAATGAAAATTTGTTTAAATATGGGCAATTCCGGATGTGTTCACCGATCGATTTAATGAGCCCATTGAATAGAAAACAAGTTATCGAATGGGCCAAGTACACTCCGAGCTGGCCCATTTATTGATCTCTCGCTAGCAACCTGTGTATGTGTTATTGCATTCAAGTTTCTTCATAAAAATAAATTCATCTTGGGTTTTTCACTGTCATCTGCATTAATGACCGTGGCAATCGTTTTATATATCAAACAGATTCTTTTTTTGGTTTTATTTCGCTCGTGGATGCTGTACTGCGCAGAACTTACGGAAAATTAGAAACGAAATTATTGTGCTGTGGACTCGTGTGTGTGTGTGTGTGTATGGAAACGATATGGGACAAGAGTGCACAAGTGAAATAATCACAATAAAACCGCACGATTATGTTCTACAGTAAAGTTTAACTTGTATGCAGGATCAAAGTATTTCAACGAGTTTCAATCTGTTCGGGGGCTACATTTGCAAGCCACAAAGTGCGCGTTCGACTCACAAACGGAGCTTTACTCTTGCGAAACGCTTGCACACATTTATTAACATAAAAGTTAAATAATTACCATTCTCTCTCTCTCTCTCTCTCTCTCTCTCTCTCTCTCTCTCTCTCTCTTTGTGTGTGTGTGTGTGTGCACTCGATAGCCGTTGTTTTCGACCGTAACGTGTCTGAAATGTGCCTTTTGGTTCAGGATTGTTGTCAGTAGAGACGACACATACATACAATTCGAAATTCCATAGAACAATATTTTATTTGTTTCCTTCTCTGTTTGTTGCGCTTTGCCATTGGGGGGAATGTAATGACAACAGAAAATGCATTAACTAAATACACAAACTCTAGATAGAACTGTAGTAGTAGATAAAAAGTGCACATTGCATAAGAGAGCCCAAAAAGAGTGTCGTGCGAATTAAAATGGAATGGAGAATTGTGAAATAGTGAGTAGCTCAATCGATGCTGTATGCCCTCTGCTCTGCAAAATTACCGTGCAAATTCAACCGGCAATGATGCTACATTCTTGACCGTCCACGAAACAGAAACAAAATCAAAAGCAACCAGAATCACCTCTCTGCTTCTCTCGGGTTGTTGTTGCCACAATTAACGTACGGCTTTAATAAGAGCCAATCGATCTTTAATCGCTCGAACTCCGTCTCTGGTCAGTCAACAACTCTTTCGTAAGCGACGATTCAAGCGTAGACTTTGTGTTGCTTTCCCAATAGCACGCAAATTTGTATCTAATTCAAATCTAAATAGAAAATATTGGCCCTTTTTTAAATAATTTTCTAGCTTGTATTTTTCCATCTACATTCTACCGTAGGATAAATCGTGACTTTTGGCACGTATTCCAACGAAGCAGACTGTTAGAAATGTGGCGCGCGGAGAGCCTGTTTGTGCGAGATGAGAAAAAGGCAATTTAGTCAACAGAACGAACGGCGAGGAGATCAAAGCTTGATTTGTGACTGTGTTGTAATTTTTTTTTTCCAACCGGTTTCCATTTGTTTTCGTCCGATTTTTCATTGAAGTTGTTCGAATGAATTCAGATCGCCGCTTTTGGCACATCCACTATAGGCGAATGAATCTCTTTGTGTGCAAAATCGTTGTTCGCCTTTTTCCTCCAAACTGGTGTGTAAGTGGTTCCGATCCACTGTTTCGATCGTGTATTAAATCCGATTTCTTCCTAAACGCATTAATACATATACATATATACCATTAGGGTGGTTTTTTTTCGGACTTTTTCGAATTTCACATGCGGCAGTATTTTTTCAGGCGAGGTTGGTCATAAAAATAAGCCCTGTAAATTTTTAGCCCGATCGGACAACGTTTACCCGTGCCTCATCGGCCTCAAAGTTTGGAGCTTGGGCCCAAGGGAAATCCACAAAATCATGCATCTGAAAACCCCACTTCCGGTGAACCGATCATCATGAAACTTTCAGAATCTCATTTATTCACCAAACAATGGAATCTCTGAAAGTTTCAGGCGGATCGGAGCATAAATAGAGGTAGCTCCCATACAAATGATCGTATTTCCATCATAAAATCGGCCAAAAAAGGCAATTTTTGTATGGGAGCTACCCTTGAATCTCATCCGATTGGCTTCAAACTTTCTGAGATTTCAAATTTTAGTAAAAAACTATGATCCTGAAAGTTTCATGACGATCGCACAAGCACAAGTGTGATTTTTGGTCCCCATATTTGGACGAAATTTCCTTGAACCTTCACTTCACTCTTCACATTCAATCGCCAGTTCCCACCAAACCAATCAACATATTCAAACCATATAGCACTTTAATTCTTCAAATAGCCTCCCAGAATTAGATTCATGCACAAACAAACATAAATCTAACTGATATAAGTCATTTTACCCGACACAAAGTCACAGAATGGGGACCGAATGCATATATTTTGACGTACATTTTGCACAAAAAGTGGTATAATTGTCGTTTAAAGCATAATTTTAAGGCGTAAAATGGCTTAAATGAAAGATATTGAGGCCTTCTTTGATAAACTACCAACGATATTATGTTTGTAACGTCAATTATACCACTTTTTGTGCAAAATGTACGTCAAAATATATGCATTCGGTCCCCATTCTGTGACTTTGTGTCGGGTAAAATGACTTATATCAGTTAGATTTATGTTTGTTTGTGCATGAATCTAATTCTGGGAGGCTATTTGAAGAATTAAAGTGCTATATGGCTTGAATATGTTGATTGGTTTGGTGGGAACTGGCGATTGAATGTGAAGAGTGAAGTGAAGGTTCAAGGAAATTTCGTCCAAATATGGGGACCAAAAATCACACTTGTGCTTGTGCGATCGTCATGAAACTTTCAGGATCATAGTTTTTTACTAAAATTTGAAATCTCAGAAAGTTTGAAGCCAATCGGATGAGATTCAAGGGTAGCTCCCATACAAAAATTGCCTTTTTTGGCCGATTTTATGATGGAAATACGATCATTTGTATGGGAGCTACCTCTATTTATGCTCCGATCCGCCTGAAACTTTCAGAGATTCCATTGTTTGGTGAATAAATGAGATTCTGAAAGTTTCATGATGATCGGTTCACCGGAAGTGGGGTTTTCAGATGCATGATTTTGTGGATTTCCCTTGGGCCCAAGCTCCAAACTTTGAGGCCGATGAGGCACGGGTAAACGTTGTCCGATCGGGCTAAAAATTTACAGGGCTTATTTTTATGACCAACCTCGCCTGAAAAAATACTGCCGCATGTGAAATTCGAAAAAGTCCGAAAAAAAACCACCCTAATATACCATACTACAGATATTAAATGCTAGACAAAGATAAAATAAGACCATTTAAAATGTATTAAGTTTATGTGCATTTCGTTTGCATACTGATTTATTGTTCGCCACGATATATTCGTAAATATCAACAAAGACAAGTTTTGCGCCCAAGAAATCAACCGTGAGCTCAAGTCTCGTGCGAAACAACCAGCAACAGCATATACAGCGAGAGGTACATATATCCAAGCAAATTGATTTAAAATTAAATGATGCGCAAAAATTCTCTTCGCTATATGAAAATTAAGCGAAAAAAAAAAACACAACAAATTAATATGCATCCAGAATGATGACAAAAAAAGGCGGTTCCGGTGAAACGTGAAATCGAAATTTCGATCTGCATTAATTATTGAGTAGCATGTAATTTAATTAGATGCTCGGTCGATCGAGAGATAGGTTAAAAGAACAAATGGACATTTGTTTTCTACTTGCTGCGGCGATCAAATAATTTACGTATTCCAAAATCGATTCTTTAGCATTATTAATACTTCATAATAATCAAATGTCAAGACTGCGCCATTTCAATGGCGTTTGTTTTCACCTCAAAATTTGCATAACAAATGAATATAAGGTAATAAACATTTCAATATATGTGGAATATCCCCAAAATGATTGGTTTATCAGAAGACACGTGAGCGCATCACTGTTTTGATCAATGCAAATTCAGGATTTTTCAGATCCCTTCGGCAAAATACATAACGTCATCATCACGACAGTGAACGCGTGCGGTTAGCATTTATTTCGGTTTAATGGACGGACTGCAATCCAACGGCAATTTTTTTCAACTAGAAACTTCAAGCAATTTGACAGCAACACAAAAGGTCGAACAACTTATTAAATACCATGAATCGGCCTTAAATTAATTTTTAATTGATTACTCATTTCATTTCAAATGAAATTTCCAACTAAGATCGGTTTTTTGGATGGAAAACACACATTTCGATTTAAAAAAAAATGATAAATTCAGACGCAATTTTTAAAAAAGGAGAAAAAAGTGTTTTTTTCTTGTCTTTCTGACGCTTGTATCCTTTTGTTCTTCACATTTTTTTCCCATTGTAAAAAAGAGAGGTGACTGATGCATTATTAGTTCATGGTTTTCAATGCATATTCAAAATGCTTGTGAGACAAAACATAAGTGATAGCAGTTTTATCAAACCACTTATTAAATACCATGAATTGGTTCTAAATTAATTTCTTACTTCATTTTGAATGATATATCGAATTAGTCTTTTTTTCGGAAAAATACACATTTCGAAAAAAAAATTATAATAATTGACTCAGACATACATATAAAAAGCAGACAACAATTGTGCGTGGTGTTTTTATTCTTGTCTTTCTGACGCTTGCATCCTTCATGGCATTTTTTTTCTTATTGTTAAATTAAATGAATTGAGGGTTTTGTGGTTTGCAGTGGATTATAAATTTTGTTGTAGAACCATAAAAGTTTTATTATAAATCAAAAATCGCGTCTAATTTATCGAGCAACTCATTAATGTACCAAGCAACAAGAACTGGCTTTGAATGACAAAAACACTCGAACAATTCTTATCAAACATTTACAACATTCAGAATAGAATAAAAACTTCAGTTTGACATTTGCAGCAGAAGATTATCATTACAACGAGTACGAAAAAAAAATGAAGAAGCATTAACATTGTCAGTGCTAATTTTAGTAAATAAGTTAGTGTCAATTTCAATTAGGAGCTGTAATTCTTTGAAGTTGAAAGACGGTCAATTACATTTCAATCTGAAACGAGTACCAAGCGAGCGTGCGCGCACGAAATGAAGAAAAAAAAGCGTCATCAAAAATGTATAATACTTTGTCGGAGCACAAAAGGTTGCGGCGAGACGTGTTTTTTTTTCCGTCGGTTCCTTTTTGTATTTCACATTTATTCCTTTTTAATAATGACATTTATTGATTGAATAATTTACGAATAAATTATGAGTTTACGTCTAAATTAGGCTTAATCCCTGATAGCCCAACTGCAATAAATGTGAGCGATGTCATTTCTCGGCAGGCAGTTGATTTACGATAATTAAGGCAGTAAGAACGTTCTTGCCTCGTCGAACCGACCAAATATCGTCATCATCATCATCATGGATATCATGAGATTTTGTTACAAATTTATGTTTTTGATAGGTGTTTGTGCACCGATTAACCACAACAAATGGAAAATTCTCGGTGGTGTGGCACGAAGTACGATTGTACTAACGGCGATGACTGTGTGTGTATTTCAGCCGTGTATTCGATACTTTTTGCGCCATTTATCAAATCTGGTGGAGGCTACTGGCGTTGGTTTAATGGTCAGCATCGGATTTTTTGCCACAGTGAGTTTAATTAGCTTTTCGTTGCAACAGACCCAAGTTCACGATACGTTGCTTCGATTTCAATCATCGGTTAAAAAATGTATGCATTCGATTTTCGACAGCAGCAGCAGCTGTGTTGTGTGAAATGTGTGTTTTGATTTAAGCCTTTCTCTCACTTTCGTTCGTCGTCTAGATGCCTCGAATTCCCAATCGAGGATTATATTTGCAAATGCCGAGCGCCAAAGTGATTGGTATACGAAGCGTATAACAAGCTCATTGCTTGGTTTTGTTTGTACAATGATTTTGACGGCATCGATAACAATTTCAACCGTTTTATCGGCAAAGGGTATCGGCCCTGAGGGCTGGATGGTGCCATACAAAGCAATGTAAAGTGCTATTGAACATCACTCTCGTCTCGATGAGACCGATACGCACACACACACACACACATGATAAGCGGTTTTCATTTATTCACCTGTTTCAGATTTACAATCGAGCAGTCTACATTCGGGCGATATTGTATCATTTTAGCATTGGAAATGGTTGGCGGCTTTTCCATTCTGACGTGCGTCACATCGATTGCTTCGTTTTTTGTATCGATGTGCATTTATTTGATTGCTTTTGTACGGAGCTATGAAATTCTTCTCGCTAGCATCAATCAAATGGCATTGCAAACATACGTAAATCGGATCGATTTCACGGGAAAATTCACGCAACTCATTGAGTTACACGTCGAAATTTATGTGTAAGTTTGTGAAATGCAACTCAATCAAATTGGAATTAACCACTTTTACTCTGTTTCGGCAGAATGGCCGAAAAACTGATAAAATTGGTGCGAGCGGTTATCCTTTCAACACTTTATGGGTCGGTCATATTTTTTGCCACGTCCATTTTTCAATGTGAAATGGTAAACAGTCGAAAACAACGTTCAATTTACATCGAATCAAAACTTTTTTTGCCATTTTTTTTTTCAGCTTGGCTATGAGAAGCTGAATGCCGAGTTCTTTGTATCGATCAGTGGCCTTTGGATGTCGGTCGTTGGCATGTATGTGTACAGTTATTTTGCAACGAAAACAACGAGCGAAATTCAGGCGATTGGTGAAAAAATGTACGAGACTCAATGGCATCGTTATCCGTCTGAATTTCGAATGTTTGTTCAACTGACAATCAGCCGATCACATCGTCCACTCCATTTCCATGGCTTTGGTTTGATTAACTGCGACATGGTCACCTTTTCAAAGGTATGAAAAGCAAACATTTAACCAACTTTAACAATGTTATCTATTTTCGAAATTGTTGTTCAACAACAGCTGTTCATCAAACAAAACCAAACTATTTTTTTTTCTCCATAATCTAATTCAGCTGGTGAATTCAGCCGTTTCGTACTATCTCATGTTCAGGCGCATGGGATAATCGAGATGGCTTGTGCAAACAATACACACACCGATTACGCCTTTGTTTATACTATCATGGGATTCGACGGGGACGATTTCAGCAATAAACAACACAAGTGTGCACTTGAGTTTAAATCTCAAAAAGCTTTTACTCGTCTTCATTAAATATTTGAAAGCAAAAGTTTGTCGTGTTTTGTCCTCCAAGTAGCAGCAGCATAGCAGATAAAGGAATGTGACGAATCAAAAGAAAGAGGATTCAGGTTTTGTCATGTCTTGCGTTTCTTTTTCTTTACGATGTTGTCTTGAACATCGTCAATGCTTAATTTGACAGACTGTTTCACTCTTTGCAACATAATTCAGTGCAGTTGTCTATTCGACAGCACTAAACTATGCGAGCACTTTTCTTTCAGACGAGAAACACGAATTGAGGGGAGAGAAAAAAGGAAGAGTAAAAATGTTTCAAGGACAAAATAAATGTTTAGTTTAATGTTGCACGCAGATTTAAACCTTATCCTTGCAAATTTAACGAAAAAGTAACAAATGTAAACAAAAAAAAAATGTTCACAAAATGCAATTTTAGTAAAGTAAATGTTGTGCTCACATAAAAAACAGCGAGTTTTTTTCCCTGTTTGATGTGAATTACGCGTTTTTTTTGGAGTCAATATTGAATCATTTTTGTTCAATTAGTTTGTGTGCTTTTTAACGATCGGATGTTGCCAAGACACATATGCCAATGCTCATAGTCAAATGCATTTTTTTTCTCAAGTTGTCGATAGCAGCAGCAGCAGCAACCAAGTGGTGGTTTGATTTGATTGTCCAGCCAATAAAGATACTTTCAAAATGAAGCAACACAATTTGCAAAGTGTACAAACATTGCCCATATATGCGATGATGGTAAACTTGTTTCGGGCCAACCCAAATCACTACAATTGAGACGTTATTAGTAAATGAATCCAATGACACAAAATGATTTCGATTTCGGTTTATTTTGTTTGTTTGTTGTTTTTTCCATTGAAACCGTGTTGCATTTCATTGGTCAAATCATCATCAATGCATTCGCCTTCAAAACTGCATACTATGTATTGAGCACATACATTTCCAATCGGCATCGTGCTTAAATTATGTGTACATTTCGAATTGCACAATTATCGACTTGGCTCTGAGTGCATAAAATCTACTGAAGCGTGCTTATTTACAAATTTCACGATATATGCGAAATTGTATGTGGCATATTTCTTGCATAATTCAGCCTCTATTGGTGTGTTTTATGTTGAATGGGCACGAAGAGCTCGAAAAAAAAGAGTGAAGAGAGAGGGAAACAAACTACAGCAAACGAAAATCCAACTCATTTTAAATCGAAACCAATTCAATTCTTTTATTCCATTCCATTGCGTTGCAATCCAAATGCGAAACCGAGAAAAAAAATTGTAACTGGTTGATATGACTCGGTACTTTGACATTTTATTTACATTTGATTTGTGACACAGTTGATGCATTTAAAATATATAGAAATTGAATGGGATTTTTGTATGTGTGTGGTATGTAAACCGGACCGGGTTGACCCATTCAATACTTCTTTTCTTTTTCCCGATCATTTAAATTATGCAGAGGTTATATTCAATTGAATCGTATTTTAAATTCGATTTCACACAGAATGTAATTGAACACAATCCAGTAGTTTGGTTTGTTATAGAAAACTACGACATAATTAAAATAGCGCAAATAAAATAGAAGGTAAGTCATAGAGGAAAACAAGTTTCAGCTATTTTTGACTCGAAAAATTTTCGTTGAATAAATTAAGCGCTTAAACAACAAAAAAACACTTAAGGTCAATTTCGATATTTTAATTACAACTAGACGATTTCGAATGGAAAGAACGGCAGCGAGTAAACAATTGAGAATTTCGCACAGAGAATTTCGTTCAGTTGAATGAATCCTTGAAGAAATTACACCTTTATTGGGTTGCCGGCGCACAGTTTAGCGTTCTATGTTCGGTCTGTCGAGTAAAACGGTTACGGTTGGTGGGATATTTTAAATCGACAAATTTTCCCAAAATAACGGTCGAATGAATGCATCGTGTTGAAGCTATCCAATTTGCAAATTTGGCAATTAAATTTTTACCCATCCTCGTCTATCACCCTTGCTGCGACGCAACAGCGACCATTCGTCATCGGTGAAAATTTCATTCTCGGCTAAAAATTGATTTAAATTATATTAAAATCATCGAACAGTTTAATGTAACAGAGAATAACGTACCTTTTTCAAATTGGAAGTACCGATTTGGTGAGAAATACGCGTTTTCAGCGGCGACATTCGTTAGAGCGGAAGTACTGCGATAATCATTATAGAAACGGATCGAATGCAATACCAGAACTAAGAACAAGATCAATCGTTTCATTTTCTTTTATTGACACTTCTCTCAGCTAGAACTTGTGCACAGCAACACATTCATTTGACGCTTTGACATTTAAGTTTTTTTGTTTCGTTTCGTTGATGTTTTTTTTTAAACGTTGACTAAATTTAAAAAAATTTCGATCAAATAGACTAATAATTGAACACTCCGAGCGCGAGACAGAGTAAAAGAATAGAACGGAGTGCGAAACTCAAAACACCAAACAAGTAAACAAACCACAATGGATCGGATCGTGTGTGTGCACGCGCCGCTTCGATCGTCAATTGAAAGACAACTGTTCTGATGTGTGAGCTGAATGAAAAGCTATATCGAAAAATAACATACGATTTCGTATAAGTTGAGCGAGCAAGCGAAGAGTATTTATGCTTTTGACGACCACAACGAATACGAAAGAAAATCAAAACAAAAAACGTAAAACTCAAAACGAAGTTCAAGTCGTAAACACACAGTGTGTGTGTGTGTGTGTGTGTGTGTGTGTGTGTGTGTGTGTGTGTG